GTTTTCACCGTTTTGAGGACTAGGAAGTCCTAGATCAAGGTCCAGGCAGATTCAGTGTCTGGTGGAGGCCTGCCTCCTGGTACATAGACAATTCCTTCTCGTCACGTCCTCACGTGGTGGAAGGGACTAATGATTTCCCCAGAGTCTCTGTTGTAAGGGTGCTAATCCCATTCACGAGGCAGAGCCCTCATTACCTAATTACTTCCCAAAGGCCCCACTCCTAATACCATCATCTGCGGGGTGAGAATTTCAATATAAATTTGAGAGGGGTACATTCTGTCCATCACATTGTCTCAGAAAGCTACCACCAGATGAATCAGTCTTTAAGTAAAAAGATCCCCCCCCCCCAATTATACTGACAAAAGAAAACTGCCTTGGAAGAAAAGAATAGTCTGCTCAGATAAAGGAGAAAGAGCTGTTCCCGTTGGCCAAGGAGCCTAGGTTGAGGTTTGAGATTTATCCCAACTCTTGTTAAGTGATGTGGCCTCTATCTGAACAGTTCCTTGATCTTACAACAAAAGTCTAAAAAATTATTTACATTACAACTTACTTTGCTAGAATGTACCTAAGAAAGCAAGAGATATGGGTAATTACTTTTTACTTAATGTAGTCCTGTAAATCTTTAGCTAAAAGGCAGTTTTCACTCAAAATAAATTCTCCCAGATTAAAATAGCAATAACAACAAAGGCAACCGGAGAATTTTGCTTCTGATAATGGCATGTTAACTAGTAATAACTCAGGCCCATCCTCCTGGAGGTAGAGCTGAAGATAATTTAAATGTTGGATAAAATATATTTAAAATCATCTTGAAATCAGATGTGGAGAGAAGGGAATACTTCTATACTACTGATGGGATTGCAAACTAATACAGCCTTTTTGGAAAAAAGTATGGAGAATTCTCAAGGAACTAAAAGTTGACCTACTGTTTGATCCTGCAATTCCATTACTAGGGATCTACCCAGATGAACAAAAATCATTTTACAACAAAGACATTTGCACCAGAATGTTTATTGCAGCCCAATTCATAATTGCCAAGTCGAGGAAGCAGCCCAAATGCCAGTCTACCCATGAAAGGATTAAAAAATTGGCTCGGCACCTGTGGCTCAAGTGGCTGGGATGCCAGCCACATACACCTAAGTTCGCAGGTTCGAATCCAGCCTGGGCCTGCCAAACAACAATGATTGCTGTGACCAAGAAATAGCTGAGTGTTGTGGCGGGCGCCTGTGGTCCCAGCTACTTGGGAGGCGGAGGCAGGGGACTCGCTTGAGCCCAGGAGTTGGAGGTTGTTGTGAGCTGTGATGCCACAGCACTCTACCCAGGGGGACAGCTTGAGTCTCTGTCTCAAAAAAAAAAATTGTGGTATATGTATACCATGGAATACTATGCAGCCATAAAAAGATGGAGACTTTATATCTTTTATGTTTACATGGATGGAGCTGGAACATACACTTTCTTAGTAAAGTAGAGTGGAACAAAAAGTATCCAGTGTATTCACTACTATTATGAAATCAATATATAATCACTTCCATATTCATACAAATGATAAAACACAAATATAGTCCAAAAAAGGAGGGGAGAGGAGAAGAGTGGGAGGCAAGTGAGGGAGGGTATTTGGCAGGATCTCACCTAATGTGCAAAATGCAAGGGTACATTTCAAAACAACTAAGGGTATATTATAAATGTCTTACCACAAAAAGTGAGTGAGGTGATGGTTATATTAATCAACTTGATTTAAGCATTCCACATTGAATATCAAATCATCATATTGTACCCCATAAACATATACAGTAATGATTTAATAAGAAAAATTTAAAAAATTAAATAACAAAATGAAATCATCTTGAAACCAACAAAGAGCTAATAAGTTAATAAGGAATTACTAGCTTTAAGCTCCAAGACAGGACAGAAATCAGAAGACATGACTTAACATAAGATCTGAAACTGTAAAACTTCTAGAAGAAAACATAGGGGAAAACCTTCTTATCACTGGTCTTGGCAATAATTTCTTGGATATGATATTAAAAGCACAGGAAACAAAAGCAAAAACAAAGGGCGGCGCCTGTGGCTCAGTGGGTAGGGCGCCGGCCCCATATACCACGGGTGGCGGGTTCAAACCCAGCCCTGGCCAAACTGCAACAAAAAAAATAGCCAGGCATTATGGTGGGCACCTATAGTCCCAGCTACTTGGGAGGCTGAGGCAGGAGAATCACCTAAGCCCAGGAGTTGGAGGTTGCTGTGAGCTGTGACGCCACAGTACTCTACTGAGGGGAACAAAGTGAGATTCTGTCTCTAAAAAACAATAATAAAAATAAAAGCAAAAACAGACCCGTGGAACTGCAACAAACTAAGAAGTTCCTGGGGTGGTGCTGGGGCTCAAAGGAGTAGGGCGCCAGCCCCATATGCGGGAGGTGGTGGGTTCAAACCCAGCCCTGGCCAAAAACTGCAAAAAAACCAAAAATGTTTCTGCACAGCAATGCTATGAAGAGACACCTTACAGAATGAGAGAAAATATTTACAACCATTATATCTGATAATTTACAAAATATATTAGGAACTTCTCAACCTCAAGTGCAAAAGGGAAAAAAAAAGCTGACTAAAAAATAGCCAAAGGAGTTGAATAGACATTTCTCTAAAGAATACATACAAATGGCCAACGGTCGTATGAAAAGGTGCTCAACATCATTAATGATCAGGGAAATGCAAATCAAAACTACACGGAGATATCGCCTCAAATTTGTTGGAAGGGCTAACTACAAAAACAGCCAGGCTTGGCGCCTATAGCTCAACCGGCTAAGGCGCCAGCCACGTACACCTAAGGTGGCGGGTTCAAATCCCCAGCCCGGACCCGCCAAACAACAATGACGGCTGCAACCAAAAAATAGCCGGGCGTTGTGGCGGGCGCCTGTAGTCCCAGCTACTTGGGAGGCGGAGGCAGGAGACTCGCTTGAGCCCAGGAGTTGGAGGTTGCTGTGAGCTGTAATGCCACGGCACTCTACCCAGGGGGACAGCTTGAGGCTCTGTCTCAACAACAACAACAAAAAAAACAAAAATAGCCAAAAGGTAACAAGTATCAGCGATGATGTAGAGAAATTGGAATCTTTTTACATTATTGGTGGGAATATAAAATGGCATAGCCACTATGGTAAATGGTATAGAGTTTCCTCAAAAACTAAAAATTGAACGATCATATGGTCTAGGAATCTCACTTCTGATAGACATCCAGAGGAACTGAGGTCAGCATCTCAGCGAGGTATCTGCACCCCCATGCCGATTGCAGCACTGTTTACAATAGCCAAGATATACAAACCAAATGTCTACTGACAGATACATGGCTTTTGATATATCCAAGAAATTTCAGCCAAGACCAGTGTCAAAAGATTTTCCCCTGTGTTTCCTTCTAGAACTTTTACAGTTTCAGATCTTATATTAAGTCCTTTCTTCCAATTTCTGTTCTCTCTTGGAGCTTAAAGCTAGTGACTCCTTATTAATTACTAGCTCTTTGATGCTTTCAAGATGGTTTTCAAGATATTTTAGCCAAGATATAGAAACAAACCCAATGCCTACTGACAGATTATTGGTATACAAACACGGTGAAATTTTTCAGCCCTAAAAAAGAAAGAAGTCTTGCTACTTAGGACAACATAGATGAACCCGGAACACAAGGATAAATATTATCTACATGATTTCACTTCTATGAAGTCACTCATAGAAGAATAGAATAGAATGGTGGTTTCTAGTGGCTGAGAGGAGGTGGGAAATGGGTATAAAGTTTCAGTTATGCAAGCTGAATACGTTCCTGAGATCCACCTAACAATATAATGCCTATACCAACAATGCTGTGTCGTGCACTTAAACATTTGTTAAGAGGGTAGATCTCATGTTAAGAGCTCTTAAAGCAACAATAGAAACCTCATAAGAAAAGCCAAGAAAATGAAGAAACACCAGGAAACATCTAGAGAGGATATGTATGTGTATCACCTTGATTTGTGGTGATGGTTTCGCAGCATATTCATATATCCCAACTCATTAAATGGTATACATCAAGTGTGCGTAGTTTACATGAATGCCCTTGGAGGACATTGTGTAAAGTTGAATATCAGGCTCAGAATGTTAAATGTTGCGTGTCCTCACTCACATGTGGCAGCCATAAAAGTCAATCTCATGATCTCTCTATAGAGTAGAACAGTGGTTACTAGACGAGGGCAAGGGTGGTGGGGAGGGCATAGTCAAAGGCTGGTTAACAGAAACAAAAGTACAGCTAGATAGGAGGAAGATGTTCTGGTGTTCTACAGCATTATAGGGTGACTATAATTAAAAATGATTGTATGTTAAATAATAGCTAAACGAGCAGATTTTGAACATTCCCAATATAAAGAATAAATGTGTGAGGTGGATGATATACTAATTATTCTGATTTGCTCATTATATACACTCTGTACATGTATCAAAATATCATACTGTACCCCATAAATAAGTACAATTATTAGATATCAATTAAAATTTAAAAAGACCTTTGTCTGATTCAAAATAAGCAAATATCCTTAGCCATTGAGTAGGTTGTCTCTTTGCTTTGGTTGTCGTCTCCTTGGCTGTACAGAAACTTTTCTTTTCTTTTTTTGTTTTTTTTGAGACGGAGCCTCAAGCTGTCACCCTGGGTAGAGTGCTATGGCATCACAGCTCACAGCAACCTCCAACTCCTGGGCTCAAGCGAGTCTCCTGCCTCCGCCTCCCAAGTAGCTGGGACTGCGGGTGCCCACAACGCCCGGCTATTTTTTGGTTGCAGCCGTCATTGTTGTTTGGCGGACCCAGGCTGGATTCGAGCCCGCCAGCTCAGGTGTATGTGGCTGGCGCCTTACCCAGAAACTTTTCAGTTTCATTAAATCCCATTTGTTTATTGTTGGTGTTGTTACTATTGCCACGGCAGTCTTCCTCATAAAGACAGTGGAGCCTTGCTGGTATCCAGCTGCGCTTAAGTGTGGCCACTGTCATCTTCCTGCACAATGCTCCCCAAGAAACAGGCTCAGGCAGGGGGCAGTAAAAAGGTGGAGCAGGCTAGGCACCTGTGGGTCAAGTGGCTAAGGCACCAGCCACATACCTAAGGTGGTGGGTTCGAATCCAGCCCGGGCCCACCAAAACAACAATGATGGCTGCAACCCAAAAATAGCCTGGCGTTGTGGCAGGCGCCTGTGGTCCCAGCTACTTGGGAGGCTGAGGCAGGAGACTTGCTTGAGCCTGGGAGTTGGAGGTTGCTGTGAGCTGTGATGCCACGGCACTCTACCCAGGGGCATAGCTTGAGGCTCTGTCTCAAAAAAAAAAAAGGTGGAGCAGAAAAAGAAGGAGAAGATTATCGAAGACAAAACTTTTGGTTTAAAGAATAAGAAAGGACCAAAGCGATAAAAATTTATCGTGGCTGTCACACATCAAGTTAAATCTGGTCAACAAAATCCACGTCAGGTAGCACAGAGTGAAGCTGAAAAGAAATCAAAGAAAGATGAGAGGAAAGAATTGCAGGAACTAAATGCGCTGTTCAAACCTGTAGTTGCTACTCAAAAAATAAGTAAAGATGCAGATCCCAAATACCTGGTGTGTGCATTCTTCAAGCAAGGACATGTACTAACGGAGATGAGTGTTAAGTTTTCTCATGGCTTGACTCTGGAGAGAAAATATGAAAAGAGAAGTGTTTACATGAATGCAAGAGATGAAGAACTTGAAAAAGATACTATGGATAATTGGGATGAGAAAAAGCTGGAAGAAGTAGTGAACAAGAAGCACCGTGAGGCGGAAAAGAAAAACCAAAAACCCAAATAGTATGCAAGCATCTCCTTGAAGCCATTGAAAACAATAAACGTGGCTGGTTTGGGGTATGCCATGGAGGGGGAGATATTTTGCATGTATCGTCATGCACTTCCTCCTGGATTTGTGTTGAAAAAAGATAAAAAGAAAGAAAAAAAAGAAGATGAAATTTCATTAGAAGATTTCATCGAGAGAGAGCGTTCCGCCCTAGGTCCAAACGTTACCAAAATCACTCTAGAATCTTTTCTTGTACGGAAGAAAGGGAAAAGACAAGAGAAAATGGATAAACTTGAACAAGATATGGAAAGAAGGAAAGTGGACTTCAAAGCAGGGAAAGCATTAGTGATCAGTGGCCGAGAAGTGTTAGAATTTCGTCCTGAGCTGGTCAATGATGATGATGAGGAAGCGGATGACACCTGGTATACCCAGGAAACAGGTGGTGATGAGGTTGATGACTCAGTAAGTGTAAAGCCTATATATCCCAGGAGATGTAGATGAAATAGCTATTACTGTAGCCAGTCTTGAAAGATTCAGCACATATGCTTCAGATAAAGATGAAAATAAATTAAGTGAAGCCTCTGGAGATAGGACTGAAAATGGTGAAAAAAGTGACTTGGAAGAGGACGATGAAGCTGAGGGACAGGAAGATGGAGCCATTGATGCCGTTCCTGTTGATGAAAATCTTTTTACTGGGGAAGATTTGGATGAACTAGAAGAAGAATTAAACACACTTGATTCAGAAGAATGACCCCAAACAAGTCACTGAAAAAGATTAAGTCAACTCAGCAGGAGTTGAAATTGACTACATTCATTTTTTTCTGCCTAGAATGAACGGGATGTTTATTTCCCGTGGTGATTCTGGAGGGATTAGCCTCCTCCCCCCGCAAAAGGAACATTCTCCTTACATCTTCTCTTCACTTTGGCTACATCTCATAGAAAGTGCAGAGTAGTTCATGATAAACTGAAAATACAATGGTTATTCAGAAAATGATTGATTGTTGCCACTTTCAACTCAAGTAGGAAGTGTAACTGCTTTTCCAGCCTTTGGTTTTCATTGGGCCTGTGTTACTACCAGAAACAACATAAATTTACATTTAAAATACCCTTTATTTGACATAGTTTTTAATGAGTGAGTTAATTTCCTTTGTATTTATATGGTTTTTTGTTTGTTTGTTTGTTTGTTTTTTTGAGACGGAGCCTCAAGCTATCCCCGTTGGCAGAGTGCCATGGCATCACGCTCACAGCAACCTCCAACTCCTGGGCTCAAGCGAGTCTCCTGCCTCAGCCTCCCAAGTAGCTGGGACCACAGGCGCCTGCCACAACGCCCGGCTATTTTTTGGTTGCAGCCGTCATTGTTGTTTGGCGGGTCTGGGCTGGGGATTCGAACCCGCCACCTTAGGTGTACGTGGCTGGCACTTTAGCCAGTTGAGCCACAGGCGCCGAGCCTGTATTTATATGTTTAAAAGAAGAGCCCTGTACTTGTATGTCTTTGGGCAATTAGATGGACCTTTAAAATGGAATTTATTTTATCTGACAGAATCAGCTACAATGCCTTGTGTTAAAAGATTTCCCTCTTTTTTTTTTGCCAACAAAGTTGTAAATAAACATCATAATACATTAAAATACAAAAAAAAAGACAGTGGAAAAAATGTATGCACGTTTTTGTATATCAATTATATCTCAATAAAGCTATCTTTTAAAAATCTAAAAAACTAAGAATTTAGTAACATGAAAATAATTATACACCTTGAGCAAGACGGCTTTATTCCAGGGATGCAAGCCTAGTTCAGTTTTCAAAAATCAGTGTAATCCATCATATTAATAGGTTAAAAAAAGAAAACTCAGGCCACTGCGACTCACACCTGGAATTCTAGCAGTTTGGGAGGCTGAGGTGGGAAGATCACTTGAGACTAGGAGTTTGACACCAGCTTGAGCAACACAGTTGCTGGTTGGCCGTAGCACTCAACCTTGAGTGACAGAGTAATACCCTATGTAAAAAAACAAACAACAACAAAAAAACCCTACATGATTATATAAACCAATGTAAAAGCATTTGACAAAATTCAACACTCACTTGTGACAAAACTCAGAAAAATAGGAATAGAAGAAAAACTTACCAACTTGCTACTTATAGCTCATTTATATTTACTCATGAAAGACTGAATGCTTTCTCCCTAATTCATATTAAAATACCAGCAAAGGCTTTTGTAGATATAAAAGAATTTATACTAAAATTTAAATAGAAAGGAAAAGAAACTAGAAGAGCTAAAACAATTTTGAATACAAAGAGTAAAGTGGGCAGAATAAGTCTACCCAATTTCAAGATTAATTAAATAACCACAATAATCAAGACTGTGCAGTATTGGTGGAAGTTCTGATGGAACAGAATAGAGAATCCAAAAATAGATCCACACAAATATATGCCAAACTGATTCTTGACAAAGGTGCAGAAGCAAGTCAATGAGAGACAAATAGGCTTTTCAATAAATTGTACTAGAGCAATGGCATCTTTTTAGAAAATAAAAAAGAACCTTGACCTAGATCTCACATCTTATACAAAAATTAACTTATAATGGATCACCGGCTTAAATGTAAAATGTGAAACAGAAAAAAAAGACGGGATAAAACCTTAGGGGTGTAGGGCTGGGCAGAGAGTTCTTAGCCTTGATGGCAAGAACATGACCCATAATAGAAAAAAATTGAAAAACTGAACTCTATTAAAATGAAAAACTCTGTCTACCAAGTGCATGTAAAAAGGATGAAAAGATAAGCCATAGATTAGTGAAATAATTTAGGAGACCTGGAAAAATAGAGTTGGACCCCCACTTAGGTTAATTAATTGGTAATTTATTTTACCTGCTGCAGGGGCTGCTGCTCCGAGAGACAGTCAGCAGTCCAGGTGTGAGGGTGAGTTGCCTTTTATAGGTTTTGGGCAAGCATATTACAGAAACAAAATGTGGCTGGTTAAGGGGGGGGTTACAACTTGGGTAGTCATGGATACACCAATGGAACAATAATTAATACAGCTTTGGTTGACAATGGATACATCTCATATTACAATAGTTATGGTTATACAACAGTAATTAATCAAGTCTCAGTGAGTTTTCCACCATTGTTCATCTATTGAGAACTTGGGGGTTTTGTGAAACTTGGGACTTTTCTTTCTTCTACCTGAAGCTTGTTTTTGGCAACCCTAGGGGGAGGAAGGACTTGCCTTGTTCCTGGAGTTGACTCTGGGGGGAGGAGGGAGGCGGAGGGAGGAGGAGGGAAATGGGTTAGAGAGGGGGGACAGGATAACAGGAGTGGGTAGGGGAAAGAGGGCTGGGTTACAAAAATTAGGAGAAAATATTTGTAGCACACACATCTGAAAAAAGACTAGTATCTAGACCAGGGGTCCTCAAACTTTTTAAACAGGGGGCCAGTTCACTGTCCCTCAGACCATTGGAGCGCCGGACTGCGGGCCTGGGGACGAGTCGGCTGCTAAGCAGGACAGGCAGGGGAGGCAAAAACACCCGGTGGGCCGGATAGAAGTCCTAGGCGGGCCGTAGTTTGAGGACACCTGATCTAGACTATATAAGGAATTCTGAAAACCCAATAGTTAAGGAAAAAAAAGATCCAGCTAACAAAAAACATAAACAGACATTTCACTAAGAGAGGACACAGATGGCAAATAAGCATATGAAAAGATAGTCAACATCATTAGCCATTAGGGGAATGGAATTCAAGGCCACAATGAGATATTGCTACACTTTCATCAGAATGGGTAAAATTTTTTAAAATACTGGCAACACTAAATGTTGGCAAAGATGTGGAGAAGCCAGATCACACATATATTGCTAGTTGAGGTGTAAAATGACACAGCTACTCTGGGAAACAGGCTGGCCATCTCTTTAACAAGTAAGCATGCAACTACCTTACAACATAGCAATGGTTCTCCTGGCTGTCTCCTGTAACAAAGAGATATGAAAACTTAATGTTCATGCTTCATGCAAAAACTTGTATGCAAATGTTTATGGCAACTTTATTTGTAGTAACCCCAAACTGGAAAATTAAAAAACAAACAAACAAACAAGCCAAACAGATGCTTTTCAATGGGTGAAGTTAATGGTACATCTATAGGATAGAATACTACTAATATAAAGGAACAAAATATTGATACAACAACCTGTAACTCAGTTTGCTGAGTGGAAAAAAACTCCAAAAGGTTATATACTGTATGATTTCATTTATACTATTTTCTTGAAATTGCAAAATTTTGTTAATGGGAAACAGGTAAGTATTTTCAAGAGTTCAGGGATGGAGAGGAGTGCAGAAGAGAATTAGGTGTAGCTACAAAAGACCGATAAGCAGGATCTTATGTGACAGAAATGTTCTGTATCTTGACTGTATCAATACCAATATCATAGTTGTGATATTGTACTACAGTTTTTTGTTTTTGTTTTGTTTTGTTTTGTAGAGACAGAGTCTCACTTTTTCGCCCTCGGTGGAGTGCAGCAGAGTCGCTCCAGCAACCTCCAACTCCTGGGCTTAGGCGATTCTTCTGCCTCAGCCTCCCAAGTAGCTGGGACTACAGGCGCCCGCCACAACACCCGGCTATTTTTTGTTGCAGTTTGGCCGGGCCTGGGTCTGAACCCACCACCCTTGGTATATGGGGCCGGTGCCCTACTCACTGAGCCACAGGCGCCTCCCTGTACTACAGTTTTTGCAAGATGTTACCAATGGGGGAAACTGAGTAAAGGGTTCTTAGAATATCTCTGTATCATTTCTTACAACTGCTTGTGACTCTATCATTATCTCAAAATCAAAATGCTAATTTTATAAATTATTCATGATTAAAAGATACCATTAGATAAGTAAAAAATACTTGCAGTCTGTAATTGGCACACACATGACAGCTAAAATACACATGTAGCTAAAATATATAAAGAGCTTTTATGAATCAATAAGAAAGTCAGACAGCTCAAGAGAAAAATGAGCAAACATCTGAACAGGCACTTCACAAAAGAGAAAATTCAAATAGCCTGTAAACACATGTAGAAGTGTCCAAATTCATTAGTAAGTAGGAATCTGAAATGAAGATCACAATGAAACATCCACCTCATTGACCAAAAAAAAAGTCTACTAATCCTTTTTGGCAAGGATGTAGGGCAACTAGAACTACCATACATCTCTGACAGAAGTGCAAATTTTATGAGCTCTTCAGGGAATAATTTTACATCATCTAATAAAGCTAAGATAAGTGCACTCTATAGCAATTCTACTTCAAGGTATATGCCCTAAAGAAAAGTGTGAACTTGCCCACCAGGAGATATATATGAAAATGTTATTAGCAGTATTACTCATAATAGCCCCAAACTGGAAACAATCCAAGTATCTATAGGGCCAGAATGGTCAAATAAATTATTGTATGTTCATACAAGGGAATGTTAGGTAGCAGTGAAAACAAATGAGACTATAATAACTACATGTAACAGAAATAGATGTTCCACAAACACAATCAAACAAACGAGCCCAGGCACATACAAAAATATACACACTACATTATTCTCATTTATAGGAAGTTCAAAACAAGCAAAACTAAATGATAGTGGTTAGAGATGCTTTACAAATTGATACAGCCATAAAGATACATAAGGAAGTAATTACCATAAAGTCAGGATATTGCTGCTTTAGGAGGAAGGGAAAACTTTATGAAGGAAGGAAGACTCTGGGGTGATGGCAGTGACCTGGGTGGTGATTACACAAGTGGTGGTTTGTAATAATTCACCAGGCTGTACATGTATTCACTTTTCCATGTTTGATGGTTTACAGCAAAATTACACACCCTTTCCTAATTCATCGTGTTGCCTTTGAGAAGAGATGAGGCGAGAGAGGGTTGTAGGTGTGAGATTTAACTGTGCTGAGAAAAGGCAGCGCATAAAAATCTGAGCTCAATATTTAAAACTTGTGAGGACAGTAAAAAAATGGAGTGTTGAAACAACAGCAGACCTGCTGGAATGATGAGTGGATAGCTTACCCTTGATGGTTGTTTAAAAGGAAGAGTGCCTTAGAAATAATAAAGTTGCTGTGGGTGCTAAATTTCCAGCTCCCTTTCTTTGTAAGTTGGGCCTAGGCTGAGGGTGCTTGATTTCTCAATGTTTTAAAGAGTTTT